GAGTTTGGGAAAGACCTCTCGTTCTAACGTGGCATCAATGACATTAGGACTTTACTCCTCAGCTTGCAAGGGAAAAGTAAACAGATCTTCAGAGAGAGTCACCTCCCTGAAAAATTTTCCAGGGAAAAATTAAACTGAAACTACTTTATCGTCCTATGAATAACGCTTCTGATTTATGAACCACAGACTGCACTGATAATTGAGCTTTCAGTTAAAAATATGACAACGAAATACTTCAGGTTAAGTATTTTATTTCATAAGCCTTACACAAGGATCACTAAGCATTTTGTGCATCACCCAAATAAGTTACATTCATTCTGAGCTTTCATGCAGCTTTACAAAAGTTAAATCTCTCAAAAAATAATTTTCAAGTGAGCTGTAACAAACTCTGCATAACCAAGCCAGAATTCTTTCGCATCAAGTAAATATTCCAGTTTTCCCTCCTGCTTTGACAGCACAGACCAGTTAGAAACGCCCCTCCAGATTTGCAATAACTACACAGAGACTCCCTGAAATTACTGAGACTTTCTGAATAATGTGAGTAGCAGCAGTAACGCTCCACAGGAGGAGCGAGACCACCGAGCTGAGTTTCAAGAAGTGACATTTTGCCTGAGGAGAATACTAAAGCATCTCAAACGAAACCCTTGCTGCAAAGGGACAGAACACCATGGATGAGCATGCACACCAGCGAGAGGCAGCGAACCTCCTGCTCACGAGCTTAACCACGGCTTTTAAGGGGACACGGCATTGATGCAGTCTTCGACTATCTCGAAAAGGTAATGATAGATATCAGTCCTCCTGGCGATGTCAAGGGCCGTTTCGTCCAAGTTGTTCTTCAGGTCTGGCTTCACATAACGATTCATCAGCAAGAGCTCGAGGGTTTCTCTGCTGTTCTTGTTTCCTGCCGCGATGTGCAGCGGCGTCAGCAAGCCGTGGGTCTGCGCATTGATGTCGGCACCCTGCTGGAGTAAGAACGCGGCCACTTTGGTGTTGTTCCACTTGCAGGCGCTGTGCAGCGGCGTCCAGCCGTCCACCGTCTGCGCGTGGACATCAGCCCCTTGGGCAACCAGTTCATGAGCAATGTCCAAGTGCCCGCTGTAGGCAGCTCGGTGGAGGGGGGTGTACTGGTCTTCGTCACGAGCGTTAACTGGAGCCAGCTTCTCGGAAAGAAGCCTCCTCACTGTACTCAGCTATTTAAAGAAAACAGATAATTTAAGATGAAGCTCTGCCAACAAGGTGCACGGCTTTTACTGTTCTGAAGCTTTACAGAAAAGTAGTCTCAAAAAAGTTTAAGCGTGACAAGAAATTTTTAAAATTACACCAGTTGTTGTTACTGGGCTGGCATTTTTTTATTGATTTGGGTACAGTTTTTGTTTTGTTTTTAAAGGCACACAACATGAACGTTAGTTGCAATGCCTTAGGAGTACCTTTACCTTAGACCTTCTCCCCACTCTGAAGACGTAAGTACCTCCACAGAACTGTAGATGGAGCTTGTGTGCATAAAAAAGGCAACTAATGCAAATGAATGCAGATAAGGGTGCAATAAGCTCTATTAAGTCATCTCTGCCTTACTTCCAAGAACAAGCAGCACTTTTTTTTACTCCATAAAAATATAGGAAGACAATCATCCATTATCCACATAGGGAGCTTTTGAGCAAATAAAACTTAAGATACACAGAATCACAGCAACCGTTGGTTTGGAAGAGGCCTTTAAAGGTCATCTTGTCCAACCCCCCTGCAGTAAGCAGGGACATCTTTTACTAGATCAGGTTGCTCAAAGCCGTGTCTTTGAATGTCTCCAGGGATGGGGCCTCCACCATCTCTCTGGGAAACACTGTGCCAGGGTTTCACCATGCACATAGTAAAGAACTTCTTCTTAACACTTAATCTAAATCTACCCTCTTTTAGTTTAAAACCATTGCCCCTTGTCCTGTTGCAACAGGCCTTGCTGAAAAGATTGCCCCCATCTTTCCTATAGGTTCCCTTCAGGTATTGGAAGGCTGCTATAAGGTCTCCCTGGAGCCTTCTCTTCTCCAGGCTGAACAACCCCAGCTCTCTCAGCCCGTTTTCATAGGAGAGGTGCTCCAGCCTTCTGGTTATTGTTGTGCACCTCCTCTGGACCCACTCCAATAGGACTCCAGGTGAGGTCTCACCAGAGCAGAAGGGCAAAATCACCTCTCTTATGCTCTCCCCTCCAGTGAAAAGGCTTTACTTGCCATGAAGAAAAACCCTAGCATGCTTTCAGCTTACTGAAATTTAAGACAAGTGCTGTTACTTTAACTCTGACTGACAATCAAAGCTTTTTTTCTGAAAGTTAATTGGTCCAAAGATATTTGAGTGTGCGTGGGCTACAAAGGGAGATGTTTTACATAAAGTCACTTGCAAAACCAGATCAAAATAGTTCAAAGATAAAGGAAAGCGTAGGAAAATTGTATGTGGATTAAATTGTAGATATCTGCTCAAAATAAGTCTTGTCAGTGATACATATGAACAGAATAATCGCCTTACCCGATTATTTTCAGCAGCCCAGAGCAGCAATTTCTCTGGATGTTTTTCCATCTTTTTCTCTTGCATTTCGTACCATTCCTCACTTCTTTCTTGTTCATCATCGTCATCATCAGACTGTCCTGACCAACAGCTCTGAGTTCCCACAGGAATCAAGTGCCTGTGCGTCTCCAGCAATTCAAGTTGGTTAAAATTCTCCATAAATTCTTCGAACTGATCGCTGTCATCATCATCGTCATCGATTTGTTTGTCTTTATTCATTTTCACTTAGCATCTGTAAGCAGCAGATACACAATGATATATGCAGTAACTTTTATGGTTATCCACGCACTAGATGTCAATAAAACCACCTGATGGATGATGCAGACATCAGCAATGCTGCCAGCAGCAAAACTCAAGAGCAAACTCCACGTCCCTCCACTCAGTCGGGCTTTGCCAGCTTGGCCAGGGCCATAGAAGCGTTTGGGTTGGAAGGGACCTTAAAGATGACC